TGTGTGGGATTCTGTGTGGACGGGGCAGTGGCGCTGATTCTAATATGATTGAGAGCAACTGCATTGTGTATATATATGTGTATATGTGTGTGTATTATATATATATATATATATATATATATATATATATATATATATATATATATATATATATATATATATATATATATATATATATATACATACACACACATATATACGCACATATATATACATATACATATACATACATGAATATATATATATGATTATGTATTCACATACACACACACATACATACAAACATACATACATACAAATTTATATAATTACATATATGAATATAAATATATATATGAATATAAATAAATAAATAAATAAATATATATATATATATATATATATATATATATATATATATATATATATATATATATATACATATACATATACATATACATATACATATACATATACATATACATATACATATACATATACATATATATATACATATACATATACATATACATATACATATACATATACATACACGTACACGTACACGTACACGTACACGTACAAGTACAAGTACAAGTACAAGTACACGTACACGTACACGTACACGTACACGTACACGTATACATATACATATACATACATACATAAATACACACATACACCCCCCCCACACACACACACACAAGCACACACACGCACACAGACACACACACACGCACACGCTTATATATATATATATACGTATGTATAATACCTATCTTATACGCGAGTTGTTCAGTCAAACAACGTCAGAAAAAAACTAAGGAAACCAAACGAAGGAGGAGAAGAAGAAGAGGACGAAGGAGGAGAAGAAGAAGAAGAAGAAGAAGAAGAGGAAGAAGAGGAAGAAGAAGAAAAAGAAGAAGAAGAAGAGGAAGAAGAAGAAGAAGTAGAAGAGAATTAAGAAAACAAGCCCGCGCTGGCACGACTGCAAACCCCACGAACAAGGTATTAATAGCTGCGAACCTCAGATGTTTGAAGGAAACGTCCCAAACACCGAAACTGCGGCGAAATTTTGGCAGTGCGCGGCGAACAGATGTTATAAACGTTTACATAATCGCGTCCGAAGTTTCAATGGCCGAAGAAATGCGCCCCCCCCCCCCCCCCCGCCCGCTTCCGGATCAGGAGAGCAAGATGTCGCCGCCGCCTCTTGCTTCCCTTTTGGGTCTTGCGAAATCTTACGGTGAGAGAGAGAGAGAGAGGGGGGATTCATGGATGTCGTTCTTCTTCAATACAGAGAAAAAAATGGATCAAAAGACAGCGACGATGATTTTTTTTAATCATTTGTAAGAAAAAAAAAATTGAGATAGAGAAACCCAGGGAATGATTTTAGTATTTAATGCCTAATCCTTTTCTTCCCAAGACCACCAGGATGTCTTAACCCTTACACTCGCACGTTTCCCTCCCCAGCCACAGCTACACAACCCTCCAACCTCACTCCCTTCCCTCTTTCCTCGCTCCTCCCTTCCCTCCCTCCTCCTTTCCCTTCCTCCTTCCTTCTCTCCTCCTCCCTTCCCTCTCTCCTTCCTTCCCTCCCTCCTCCGTTCCCTCTCTCCTTCCTTCCCTCTCTCCTCCCTTCCCTCCCTCCCTCCTCCCTTCCCTTCCTCCTCCCTTCCCTGTATCCTCCCTCCTCCCTTCCCTCCCTCCTCCCTTCCCACCGTCTTCCCTTCCCACACTCCTCCCACCTCCTGTACCAACCCCTCTCCCCCCGCCCAATGCATCACCCTCCTCCCCCGCCGCCCCCCTTGTAACTCCAACTTGCCCCTCCCCCTCTCCCTCCCCCACCCCCTGACCTCTAACCCTGCCTCCCCGCAATGAGTTATCGCGGAAGACGCAGAGAGGGAGGTGGAGGTGGGTGAGGGGGGACCCAGAGCCCCACCACCCACGCCCCTCGGAGCTGGGGAGTGGGGGTGAAGATAGCAGAGGGAAAAAGGGGGTGGTGGAGGATCAGAAGGAGAGAGAAAGAGGAGGAAGGAAGGGGAGGGAGTTTTAGTGAGGGGGAAAGGGAGGAGAAAGGACAGTTCCCCTATCCCTTTCCCTTTCTTGTGCATTTCCCCCTGCCCTTCCCGCCCCTTCTCCATCCCTCTCTCCCTTCCCTCCCCTTCCCCTTCCCCCTCCTTCCCTCCTCCACCCCCCCTCTTCTTCCCTATACTCCCCCTTCCCCTCCCCAGGACGCAACAGCTCATGCAGACACGCACGGACGCCGCGCGGGGACAGGACGTTTACATGAGGGTCTGACTCGGGAGCAGAAATGGCTGCATGCGCCGCACCACGCGAGGAAGGGGTCGTTTAAGCAGACGAGCCAAGCGGAGCGAACGTGCGGACGAAGATCCACGACTTGGGGTGGAACGACTTCAAGGAATGTCTCCGAGAGGATGACTCGGGAGAGGAACGACTCGGGAGAGGGACGACTCGGGGAGGAACGACTCGGGAGAGGGACGACTCGGGGAGGAACGACTCG